TGTACAGTTCCAAAATGTAATCACACAATGACTTTGTTAGTCATTCTAGTCTTATGTTACCCACTTGATAATATAAAATGAAGGAAGCAATTGAAAGTAAAGAAAGGGTAAATATTTGATTCATATGACAAAGTGCTAACTAAAACAGAAGTGCCATATATTTTCAGGATGAAGTACTTGAATTTCAATTTTCTGAACCACAGCTGTCCTAAGAATGTTCACAAGAATCTTTATTTCAGTGGAACTTATTCAAAAGTATAGCTACAGTCTTTAGATATCACTAAGTGTTGGTGTCAATGCTTAGTAATCAATAGATAGACTTTCTCCTTAACCTGGCCCTTTCAATGATGCATTCATTGCTGGTATAATTGAGTCCATCAACCTTTCTGTTGATTGTCTTCTTCCCTTTCTTTCCTCTTTTCCCAGCATTATGGACTTCTTGAGGGAGCTGAGTCTTTGCATAATGTGTCCAAAATATGATATTTTGAGGCCAGTCTTTTGTGCCTTGAGTGAGAACTCTGAATTGATCCTTTTGTTTGTTTTCCTGGCTATCCACTTTGCTGTAATTACAAAACTGTTGCAAATGATGTTTCCAGACAAAATGAAGAGTCTTCTCTAACACCAAAGTTCAAAAGTGTTAATACATTTTCTGTCCTGCTTCTTCAAAGTCCAATATTTGCATCCATAGAATATCACAGAGAAGTTTATTGTCTGCACAGTTCTAATCTTGTAGGTATAGACATGTCACAGCATTTGAACATGTTTTCCAAACACTTCATTGCTCTTCTGTAAAGTGCTAGCCTGTCAGATACCTCATACCCAGCATATATGATGTATGACAGAGCCAAAATAGAGCGAGAAAAGTTGAAAATACGTTGTCCCACATAACAAAAGAAATGAGAATCAATATTTTGTTTGGAGTTACATTTCTTTAGAGAGAAGCTACCTTCTAACATATATTCTGATTCTCATACTTCATCACAGACATTCAGACACTACCCCTTATGAGTTTCTGTGTAATTCTGATCATAGTACCAGGAATTTTTAAAACTTTCATTCATGTTTTTTATAAGTAACAAAGATGGATTTGGTTATATAATATTACTAAGAATTAATGCTCATGAATAAAAATTATCCTCACTCTGAATCAGCTTACTTGCCCTTTATTTGGAGAAAACACTATTTCATGTCTCCTTTAAGTTTCCATTTTGTCTGGAAACATCATTTGCAACAGTTTTGCAATTACAGCAAAGTGTCACTTATTGTGCCCACTTCTCTGCTGAAATATAAAAGTGAGCACTTCAGTATCCTTCTTAGACCTACTAATGCCCAGTTTTTCTCTACTTAATTCATTTGAAACAAGACTGTCAATTATCAACAAGTTAATTTGAATTGCTGTGTGATTAACAATTAATAATTACAAGCCCCTAAAGCTAAATACCCCCTTTTTCATGACATATATTTATTCATAACTCCCTCTGTTCTCTTTATAAGACATGTTTTATAAAACAGCCCACTGTGGACACACAGTAATGTCAGAACTTTTGTCCAGCAGAAATGTCTTGTACTGTAGCCATGTACCATTTGTTATGACAATATTCAAACCTTTTTCTTTTTGCTTATTGGGGAAAGCTTCACCTATCTTTTACTTCCTTAAGACATGTGCCAAGGATTAGGGAAAGCCACAGGAGTTAGGGTGGGGATGTATTTTAAATTGTGGAACTGTATGAATTAGCTACTGTATAATTGGTGACTGCCCATCCCTATAGCAACTTCTAAAACAACTTTTATGGTGAGGAATTTGCTATGAGAGGCCCCTTAAACAGTACACTGACAGCAAATAGCCTGGGCTTATATTAGTTCAGATGCTGATCAAAAAGTATTTATACAAAGAAAATAGTTTTGGTAAAGTTTTGTAGTTATCTACAGTATGTGGAAAAAATTATACTTACTGGGCCAACATATGAGACAAAGAAGGATGTGTGCATGTATGCATAGGTGTGTGTTTCTGAGGCAGAATAAAAATATAGGCAATAGAAAGGAAACAGTTAATAGCATATTCACACTGATTGTGAACCTCAAGGGAGGCATTGTATTACATAGACAATCTTCTTATAATTGCTTTGCTTTCCATATGTAGCAACAAGATTAATAATACTATTGAAAAATTCATTGTAAGTATCCCCACTTAAAAATGTTCAAGTTCTAATGATGTATTTAATATATATTTTAAAATCCTTACTTTAGAAGTTAACCAAGGAAAAAGTTAAAAGTAGCTGTTTTATTTTTAATGTAGAATTTGAAGCACAGCAAGCTTTTTGTGCTGATGAGTAATGTGTTTTGAATTGACTGAAGCTTCCAGTCAAATATTTTTCACAAGCTTTGAGTGAGATACAAATATCATAGCCAGTATGATTAAAGGGAAATGGGAAATAAAATGCCCAATAGGTAAAGCTCATAATTGATATTTAACATTTGTGCAAGACAGACCATTCCACACTACAAAGAATTACACATATTTCTGGTGTGCTTATTTCTTTAAACGGCTTCCCTGTAGTTAGAAAGATTCTGTCAACAGTGGAGCATTTATTTATTTATATTTATATATCAAATTTGTCACCCCCCCATCTCATTAAAAAGTGACTCTTTTAAGTAGAACCAATGTTTTCTAAATTGAATAGTGTGGCTAATAATATATAGTATATTATATTCTTGAATAGTTCATGCTATTCCTCAGGCTGAATTTTACCAGAAGCACCTTGTAGGGATTTTTGTGATGGAGGTATAGATGGAAGAACTTGCAAGAGAGAATTGGAATGTCATCATTATTGATCAGGTTTGGAAATTATTGAATCCTGGTTGTTTGTAACTATATATTACTCTTTTATAGTTTTCTTAACATCTGTTTTAAGCAGGCAAATATCTGGTTTTAAGATTTAAATTTAATCAACATTTTAGAATTTCCATAAGGCATTCCTTTATTCATCTTATTAAAGATCTTAGGCATCCATCCTGAACTTTTCCCAAATGCATGTTACACATGGTGGTATGCCAGGTCTCTGAACATCTGTCACACTTAATTCTTTTCTTACATGAAAAAAAAAATCTATATTGAAATAAACTCCCCCCTCCCCCCAATACTGTCTGAGCAACATTACTATCCGTAATTTTTACTGGAATCTCCTGCACTTTGAAAGTAAATTGCCTATCACTGTGAGCTTTGAAGATACCTGGTTATTGAGCGTTTCATTATTTTTACTGTTAAAAGAACTGCCTTAAGATGGTTCCTTTTCTGAAAATTATGATAGTAATCAAGTAAAATCTATCAATCTACAAGCAGGAGATGGAATAACACTACCAAAAAGATTCAGGAGATCATACAGGGAAATTATGAAGCAAAAATGTATTAAATAATTAAATGATTATGCTACAGAAATAGAAACATGACTGTGACATCATTTCATTCAATAACCTTTTCCTTCCTTGTCACAAATAGTGACAACATTGTTACTGATTGGTTTATATCCAAAGTTGTTCTTCCACTGATTAAACGAAAGCTCTGACAAAACTACCTCCACCTCTACCTGAACATTTTTGTGCATTTCCTCATTGTTCTGGAAAGTGCACAAAAGATTCACAGAGTCCCCTAATATTCTGTCAATATAGCTTTACAATAAAGTAGAATTAGCTCATCTGGTTGTGATTCCTACCTGGTTTACGCTGTGAGGCCAACATCAATCTTGCTCTGAAAGTACAATTCTCCCCTTGTTTCCTTTACAGCCCAAGAAACTAGGGAGGGTCTCTTCTGAGCCTCCTGCCCCACCCACTATCCAGTTGTAGGCTATGCTGTCTCTTACCTGACCATCCCTTGGCAGTGTCTCTGTGCCCAGTCTTCCAAAGTCTTTCCCGCATACCATTATATCAACTACTGTATATGTTTGTGACTGAATTTCAGGAAAGATAGGTATACTTTATCAAGAGCTAATTATCAAGCAGTTTTAATTCTGGGGGGAGGGCAGGAATATATTATAGCACTTTGGGATTTAGAGATCATACCACTTTCCTCTTAAATTCTCATGCTAAAGCAGTCTCTGTACTTTACTTAAAATTGAGGAATAATTATGAACTATATTTTCCTCTTTTTACCTTTTACTTTGAGGAATTCTGCTACTGAAAACAGATGCTAAGGCTAAGGTCTGATGGATTATGACTTAGATCAAGATTGTTTGGGAGAGCTAAATTATTTTGAATTCTCAAAGAATACAGGATAAAGCTAATGCTTAGGTGTGATGCTTAGGACCCGAACAGAGTATGATCTACTTGTGTGCACTGAACACTGAACTGAATAGCAAACATTTTCAAAACTTCATTTTGCAACTTTGTTACAATTCCAGAGTTATTTAAATATGATATTCATTTTGTTAAGTCAATCAGAAAAATGCTTTACATTTATTATGAAGCAATGCAGCAAAGTAAACGTTAACAGTCTTGCTAATAACATAACAACTACTCTAAAATAGAAATAAAAATAAAAAATCTTAACGGTAGAATAAAATAAGGTAAAGATAAAATTATTAACAAAAAATTACAGAGTTCAGGAATTAAAATGCAAGAGAATCCCATAAAATTACAATTAATTTTACAATGAATAATCTAAATGCTATGAATAACTAGGATAGATAACTATAAAAGGACATAAGTAATATTAGAATTTATAAAACACTGATAGAATGTAAAGCTATATTAACTTATATTAAGTCTAATACTTGCTGGAGCTCTGCTAGGGGTTGTTGGGATTAAGACAATTATGGTCCAACCAATTATAACAAAGAATAGCAAAATTAAACATAGAAGTGTATGTATATATTGAAAAGGAAATGAGAAAAAATATTTTGATTTTTTATGTTATTAGTTCTGTGCTGGTCTATGACTGAAATAAAACTGAAATTGTAAAATGAAACAGGCTTGCTAAGAGAAACATTTTTGTTCAGTGTACTTACTGGCAACGTGTGTACTTGGGTTATTCTTAACTGGTTCTCCAAATCTTGTACCTTGTTTCTTAGCTCCAGATTTTCTGTTTCTAATTCATTAATCTGAAAAATATGCATGTATCAGAAAAGTCTGAGAAATAGTGTCAAAGTAGGGGAAATTCATCATGGAACAAAGCATTTATCATTATTAAATAAAGAAGTCTACAGAAGCAAGATGCAGTTCTAGTACTGTCATCATCCTCACTGAAAGAGTTCCAAAATTTGTATCATATTCGTATGATGGAACCCCCCCCCCACACACTTACAATATTAATTTACTGCATTGATTAAATGGAAATGTGTATTTTTAAGTTACCTAGGAATGGATAACGGAATTATTTCCACAATAGAACCTGTTATCACAACTGAAGCATTGCATTCAGTTACATATAACATACTATTCACTGATGGCTTCCCATGAAGCCAGTTTGTTCACAAAATAGATAAATAAATATGTTCAGCAAAACCTAACAAAACCCCTCCTTTTTTATCTTACTGGCATCCTTTTGCTGCTGGAACCCTCAGACAGAAATACATATTTCCCAACTTTTCTTAAAGTTCCCTAGTCCTCTGGGACAGATTTAGAAAAACACAAAAGGCCTTAGGCAGGAAAGAGAATGATCAAAAGAACATCTTCCTCCACCAGGTTGAAAAAACTTCTATCAGCAGAGGGACATGAGTTAGATACAATCCATTCTGTGTACAAGTTTAGATTTAACTCATATTATTGTTCTTTTTTGCAAATAGATTATTCCCCCATTGAATAGCCTTTCCCAACTGCCCTGAGAACAATTAATTCGATTTTTCATTCTAATTTGCTAACATTTATTCAGATTCTAATGAAACTATACCCTACACTGAAGCACCACCCTAGTTTTCTCATTTCCATTTTTGTTTTGATTTCTGCCAAGTTACTCTGTTTTCTGGTTTACCGTTTTTCTCAGAGATGGCTTTACTTCTACAGTCATAAATTTAAATTTCACTTCTGTAATTCAGTTGAATCCATTTAAATAAATATAACTTAGTTACTATGAATGGATCTTTGAATGGTATGTATTCCATTAATAAATCTTTTATAAAATGGCTGAGATTTTTATTTCGTATATGGAATAGCAATGACAAGTGTTTTAAAAAACCTACATAAAACATTGGTTAAACTGAGACAGATTATGGAACTTACTCTTTTCTGTAATCCAGCAATCTGCTTTCGTGTTTCAACATCCTTTCCTCCTGATTCTAGAAATTTTCTGTAAGCAAGGTCAAATGCTTGGCCAATAGTTAAAGTTATCTCTTCTGCCTTGAAATAAAACAAGTATTACCATTAGCATGTCATTTCATGTGGCAAAGAATAAAGGCTCATACTGATTCAGCATCTATAATATCAAGGAAACTATTAATACAAAAAAAAAATCACAACAGGCTGAAAAATCTACATGCCACAGAATCAGTATAATATGAAAATGAAAATAGAAGAAAAACAAATTATTTCACAAATCCATTGGATTGATGTACTGAAATCAAGCCCAGTCTTGAGTGGATATTTCACTTTACACAGAAATGCATGAGGAATATATTTCCAAGAAAACAGAAACATATTTTTGTATGATTTACTGAGAATCATAATTAGCTGCATTTTGGTTAAATCACAATGTGATTTCAAGTGAAGGAAAAAATACAATACAAAATACAATATAAAATGCAAATTATATTAACTTGTTTTAAACATAATTATTGAGAACTCTCCTGTATTAAAAGGAATAGCAGAGCATACTGAAGAGCGCATGACCTTCATGCTGTTTCAGGTAGAGATAAAAAAATGTCCAGATGGGACAAAGATTTGGCCGTAACTATTTTTAAGCCTGTACCAAATATAGTTCAAATAATCACTATCAGAACATTACAGCTGGTTAGCTCTATGTTCAATCCAAACAGCTAAAAGTCCAGGAACACAGAACCTAATTTGTTTGTGCATTTGCACTGCATTTCCTGACAAGTGAGCACAATCAACTTTAAGTTATGTATCACTTTCATTCAATGCAGAATTAGACCTCTTAGTGATAATACTGGACTGATTCTATGATATTCAAACATATCTATGTGAATTATATTGGCAGAGTACAAGAGAAACTGAAATCATAGAGAAAAGAAGTTTTAACCAGAGAGAAAAGTCAGCAACGTTACTTTAGTCACTATTTTGCAAAAAAAGAGCTCTTACAAAAAAGGCAAGGGGTAAGGCAATGTTTCGATATAAAAGAACCCCAAACTTGATCAGTTTTAGAATATATGTGTACTTACACATTTTTCACTGTCAAAGACATAACATAAGTGTTTATTTGATTCAGAATCTTTGCATATGAAAGTGAATATTCTTTTGTCAGTTTTGTCATCAGCACAAAATGATATCCTGTGGAGTTGGCAGTTGTGCTGGACTTCCTGCAAATAACAAATGTGCAATTACCTCTTTGGAATGACATTTTGACCGCTGAATACTATTTATTCAAGACTCCCAGGATGAAGCAAAGTCCTCTTAATAAAACACTACTTCATGAAAGAACATAATACATTTTATTCTTGTAGTCCTGAATATTGATTGTAATACTGCACTTATATATTAGTACACAGTGGGTGTCTGCACAGGGGGTCAGATGGTCAGTCTGATGAAAACAGGTTGTGTTGTAACAACTCGTTTTTTTCTTTTTAGTGAAAACAGCAGAAGCTGTGGATGCCAATGTTACTACAGCTGCATTGTTAGATACAACTGCAAAGGTAATCTGGGTCTAATTTTCAATTTCATAAGACAAGGAAACAAAAACGCAAGATATTCCATTACAGATACTTGGGAAGCTTCAGCTCCATTCACAGGATTCTCTTGCTGGATGATACTAAAGTTCCTGCGTTACTGCAATACATCACATTTTCCCAATGCATGTAATTATTTACTGTAAAATATTGCCGAAAGTTAATTACGTTATCCCAGTTTAACCATTTACAAAGTAATTAAAGTAAGTATTCTGGTAATCTTTTGAGAAGAATATGGGATCACATGTTACTAAAGCCTTCTAAATAGCATTGACTATAACAGGATTTCAGGTAGTGGTTTACATTTTCACTGTCTGCTTTCAGATGTGGGGCTCCACCTGCTATTAACCACTATTGTTTTTTCACAGTAAATTGTTACTGACATTGTTATTAATTTTTTAAAGTTCAAGAATCTAGCTTTTGTGCGTGTGTGAACACAAGAGAGGGTTCTATAGGTATCATATTTATCATTGTCATAACAAAGTAAACATTGCTGCCTTCTTCCTTCTAGTGATCCTATAAGATAATTGTTTTCTGACATTTTTAACTAAGTGCTTTTCAATGCCATCTGAATAATCTGTATGGAATAGTGGAGCAATGCAATTGCATTTAAACAAAACAAAACAAAACAGAAGTAGTCCAGGGCAGCTAAACCCAATTCATTTTGCCTTATTTCTAGTTCATTTCACAATTACTCATGCTGATTTCATCACTGGTCCAGCTTTACAATCAGTCCAGAACACTTGCTGGAACTCTCCAGCTAATTGTGCCATAGCACTATCCATCCATCTTAAGTTTGTCAACAAAAGAGGATTTGTTGCAGCACAAAGCTGGAGGACTGCATTGTTATACAGGTACAGATGGAACCCACACATCTATATTCAGAAACAAGTGCTCTTATTTTCAGTGTAAACCATTAATTATGGAGCTAATAAAATGTTGAGGAAGGCTCATTCTAGGAAAGAATAAAAATAATACCTAGTAATAAAGGTGTTGGTTATCACCTTTAAAGACCTTCATGGAATTGGGTCTGGATATCTGAGAAACTCTTACATCCAGATCTCACCCCATTTCTGCCTGTCCAATAAGTACAGCCAGAGTGGGTGTATGGTGTGGGTCTTGTTGATTAACAGTGACATCTTACAGACCCAGGAAGTGCGCCTTCTCTGTTGTAGCACCTGCTGTCTGGGGCAACATCCCTCCAGAGGTTCACACAGCTCCCACCTAATGACATTCAGGAAATCATTAAAAACTTGGTTGTTCTTCCAGACCTTTGGATAGGCTAGCTGTGGAGTCCTCATTCGTTAAGTTTGGTTTTGGTTGCATTGCTCTTCTGGTCAGCTATGACCTTTTCTAAATCTAATGTACTGTAATGCAATAAAATAAACCGGTTTCACTTTTCTGGGAGTTGCATGTAGAAAAGGATGATGAATTTATGTAATTGCCCACAGGATTAGAAATGTACATCAGCTGAGGCATTAAGATGCTCTTTCCTGAGAATAGGAACTGTGAGTTATCAGGTGAATTGCTGTTCCTGGGGGATTTCGAGGAAGGGGTTAACACTGATTTGATATGGCAGTAAAAACAAAGTTTCTAGGTTTGGATATTCTGCATGTTAGGAATCACTGGCCTGCTGAAAAATACTAGAAAGAATATGAACAGATACAACTACAAAGATTTCAGTTAGATAACAGGAAGACATGTTTCTGGTATAGAGCAGTGAAACACTAGAGCTGGTCTACTGAGAAATTTTGGGATGTAGAAAACAGTTTAAGCAGATTTCACCCTTGACTGTATACAACTCATTAGAAGACCTACTATAATATCATTCTCAGAGTACCCAGTCCTTTGATAAGGATATATTTGGGTAAGGTAGGCAAGATTTCACACTATTCGCAATAAAGAATAGCAGAGTAGAAATTCATTGTTATTTAAGTCTTCCCCTTTCATCAGCCAAGACCCCGCCAAGACAAAATAAAACACATCCATCCAGATGGTGATGAAATAGTATCTCCCCGTAACTACAGATTGTCAAATAAGTTGCATATTTGATTATTTTGCAAATTATTTTACACTCAGAACTTGAGATATTTATTTATTTATATTTCAGATTTAGACACCACCCATTTCACTGAGCAGTGAGGAAGTGACTGGGCAGTTTACAATAAAAACAACAAATAAATATCAGTTAAAATATAATAAAATAATATAAAAATACAAGAAAACCACACACATACATAAATAATAATATCTTCCAAGATGCTGGTGATCAAAAACATATTAACATGTGGGAGCATCTTCAAGGTGCTAGCTACCCCCAGGGATCTCAGAAGGATCCCAGTCTGGATACACACCATTTCTATTAACTCCACTCCTGAGTACATGGAGGAATGGACACAGACGATACATGAGACAAGTGTGTCTCTGCTGCCATCTGCAAAGGCTCTGCTCATAACCTAAGACTTATTAAAACAGCACTGTTACTGTAGCTATTCCAAATCTTTCAGTTTCACATTGCAAAATAAATACGTTAAAGATTAAACAATAAGATCTTTTTTTTTTTTTTGCATTCCTGTTCTTTAACACATTAGGCTAAAAAATATGACATGGGATGGATCCGAAGCTGTGTTGTTTCTATTGATGGGCTTCATCGTTATTTATATCTCCAAGCTTTCTATTTCTTTCATAAGTATAAAAATTATTTCTGTGATCCATGGAAAAGAGCAAAGAATCAGAATCAATGGGTTAAAAATTAGAAGGAAACAGGTTCAAGCTAGACATCGGGAAAAAACTTCCTGGCTGTACAATCCATTTTTTTTTTTTTTGCATTCCTGTTCTTTAACACTTTGGGCAAAAAAATATGACATGGGATGGATCCGAAGCTGTGTTGTTTCTATTGATGGGCTTCATCGTTATTTATATCTCCAAGCTTTCTATTTCTTTCATAAGTATAAAAATTATTTCTGTGATCCATGGAAAAGAGCAAAGAATCAGAATCAATGGGTTAAAAATTAGAAGGAAACAGGTTCAAGCTAGACATCGGGAAAAAACTTCCTGGCTGTACAATCCATTTTTTTTTTTTTTTTTC